AATTATCAATATAGATTTCCCAGTATGTACATTCAAGTCCCCATTTTTCTCCAGCTGCACCCAGCCACACCCATTTCTGCATCTGCCTGTGTATTTTGTGCTCTTGATTGCCCCTGCCCTGCATTAGGCCACATATAGGCCAGCAAAGCATACTTCCTGAGCTGAGGCATTCACTCATGACTGGATCAAATATATTCCCACTCTCAAGTTTCATCATTTCCTGGGCATTTAGAATGCGATCATCTGACTTTCCAGTATCTCCTGACAACCACTTCATTGCCATTCACCTGGAAATGGGGCTCCTGGAAAACAAAGAAAAACAAATAAAAAGTGCATACATCTTCTGAGAAGCCTGTTTGTTTTCTTTTGCCACATTTGCTCCATAGCAACAACAACAACAACAACAACAAAAATAAAAACAAAACAAAGCAAAGAAAGAGAACCAACCAATAAATGAAACCTACCAGGTTATTTGCACAGAGTGAACAAAAATTGTTTCATGCAAATATTTGTTGAATCTTTACCCACTCCATAATTAAATACTGCTTTCCACTTATATCTGGATGAATGGAAGCACTGCAGTGGAAGGTGCCAGATGTCATCTGCCACAGTCCTTAGCACAATCTGAAACAGGAGAGGGGCCCAGAAGACGAGCTGAGCTATGCTTTCTCTCAAGCAAGATTCCTGCGTGACCAAGACAACTTCTTGGGGCTTTTCTTTTTGTCTGGTTATCTATTTCTGCATTGCAAATGACCCTAGCACTTAGTGACTAAATGATTGGTTTTGTTCTTATGGTTGTGTGAGTTGACTGAAATCAGCTTAGCAGTTTTCACTTGGGATCTTTTGTGTGGTTGTGTTCGGATGTTGTTTAGGGATGCAGTCATCTGAAGACTTGATTGGATCCAAATTTCAGAGAGCTTCTTACATGGCTGGTACTTGATGCTAACTCTACTGAGAACTTAGCTAAGGCAATGAGCTGAGAAGCCTTCCCAGGTGATGTGGGCATCCTCTTGGCATGGTGGTTGAGGTCTGAGAGGGAGAATCTCAGCAGTGAATATTTCAAGATGGCCACATGAGACCCATAAGGCATCTTAATATTAGGTGGAACTTGACACAGGCAACACCATTTTGAAATATACCACATAATAGAATAAGAGTTGCCTCACTCTGACTCAGCCTGACCTTAAACTCTAGACAGTACCCCATTGTCACACAAAGAAAGGAAATTGCTATCTGGGACTAAAATCTTGAAAACACATGGTTCCACATGGAACAGTGACCACCTCAAAGAATAGAAATGACGACCAAAAGGACCCTTCCGTGACAACCCTCTGGCAATGCCTAAACCATAAAAAATTCCCTCACTCCCTCATGTTCCTTCAGCTACCCAGGCTGTAAGCAGAAGATGGGTCTCAGTCTCCACTGGGCCCCCTCCACAGGTTTGTCCCAAATAAACCTCTGTTGAGCTGCCTCCCTTCTCTCTTCTTTATTTCCTTCATTCACTTCTTTCCTTACACTTAAGACTGAGTCTTGAATATCCAAAATGTCCCTTCCACTCTAAATCACTGAGCCAGCCCTGATTGAAAGGAAGGGGAATTAGACGGTACCTCTTGAAGCAAATTGCAACATTAACATATAAGGAAGGAAGAAAAAGGCAGCAGCAGTCCTCTTCAAAGATAATTGACAGATCATCACCAACCAAGCAGTAAACAAGTAGATCTACCTTAAACTCCTACCTCATACAGACCTTTGGGAGATAATATGGTGGCACCCAAATACATAAGACATGGTTTCCTAACAATTAAGATCCCTTGTGGGAACAGAGTGGTGGCACATACCTGTAACCCCAAAGGCTCCAGAGGCTGAGGCAGGAGGATCACAAGTTCAAAGCCAGTCTCTGCAACACAGAGGCACTAAGCAACTCAGTGAGACCCTGTCTCTAAATAAAATACAAAATAGGGCTGGGGATGTGGCTCAGTGGTCAAGTGCCCTTGAGTTCAATCTTTAGTACCCCCCCCCCCCCCCAAAAAAAAAATTTCCCTTGTGGGTTGAAGAGGTGAGACCAATCCAGGCAAATCTTATGGTGAAATTAAGAGGTAGTTTCTCTCAGAGGATCAAAGCCACTTACAGGCTGGCCATATCACCTACCAGGATCCTGTGACCATTCTGCACATGATTAGATACCCCACAGGAAGGAGTCCCAAAAGAGGACTCAGCTCAAGGCTCCCAGAGAGAAGAGGAACAAAGACATCACCTGATGTGGTGCCTGGGGGTGGTAGTGCCTCCGAATATGTTAAAGGGTAACAGGGAGGAAGAGCATGAGGAAAAGATTAACATTAAACAAAGAGGAGTAGGGGAAGAGAAAGGGAGAGAGAAGGGAAAGCATATGGAAATGGTAGGAGACCCTCAATGTTACACAAAATTACATATAAGAGGTTGTGAGAGGAAACGGGGTGGAGGGGGGAACAAGGGAGAGAATTGAACAACAGCAGATGAGGTAGAGAGGGAAGATGGGAGGGGAGGGGAGGGGGGATAGTAGGGGATAGGAAAGGTAGCAGAATACAACAGTCACTAATATGCCATCATGTAAAAATGTGAATGTGTAACCGATGTGATTCTGCAATTTGTATATGGGGTAAAAATGGGAGTTCATAAACCAATTGAGTCAAATGTATGAAAGATGATATATCATGAGCTTTGTAATGTTTTGAACAACCAATAAAAAGAAAAAAAAAGAATATGTTAAAGGGGCTAACCTACCACTGTCCTAGGAATAAGTATTTGAGAGGCGCTAAGCAACTCAGTGAGACCCTGTCTCTGAATAAAATACAAATGACTCTGTTGGAAACTGTAGCAGAGAAGCTTCCCCTTCTGAGAACAGGATATGTGGAGGGAATGTCATAGATGCCTGGAGAGCAGGTAAAGGGGTTCCCATCTTTCCTCTCACCCAGATGCATCTTCTCCCATGAATGAAGAGAATGTTGCAAGCCCCATCATTCCTGTGGGCAGGTGAGTCTCTTCCTCTTACCATCTTTGCTGTTGACAGGAATGCTGAAGAAAATAGGATGTTTATAGTCTCCCAAAAGGACTGCCATGTGGTACACATACCTGGAGGCCCAGTCCTGCGTCAACTCTCCCCATTTCCTTAGTAACAGAACCAATCCCCAATCTTAGCTGAATATGGCCACCAATATAAAAACGTTTCCCACCATCCCTTGTAAGTATGGTCATGTGACTAAGTCCTGGCCTACAGGATGTAGGTGAAAGTTGTATGGGAAAGTTCCTTAAAAGGAGATTGTCAGCTGTAAGATGCCCACCTGCCGCAGTCTGGCTGGGCACAAAATAACCGAGCCACCACAAAAACTTGTAGATTCCAACAGCAACTCTTTATTCCCGAACTCTCACCGACACTCTACACGCACATTCTGGGAAAATACACTGCCTCTACCCGGCTCCACGCACCAATTCTCTCTGAATCCCGCGAGATCTCAACGGGAACTCAAGGAGCGGGCGCCTGAGGCAGCAGGATATGCCGTATTCCCAGCAAGATCCACCCTAAACCTGGACCCACCCTAATCCAACAGGATCCTCCCTAAACCCGGATCCACCCTGGTCCTTGAGCAGGGTCACCTTTCTCAAACATTCATGCAATGTCACTGCAAATGACCTGGGTCCAAGGCAAGCCCATTTCCACAATGGAGAGTCCTCCCTCTAAGCAACATTGGGTAGGCTGACAAGGAAATTGCCATGCCTCATTCCTACTTGGCTATGGCTCTCAGCACCCACCCCCAGGTGCTGGGGATGGAACTCAGGGCCTCACATTTGCTAAGCTTTATCACTGAGCTACATCCCTGGCCTGCAAAGAGGTTTTTTTTTTTTTTTTTTTTTAACCTTTCTGCCTACCTGGGATACAAATGTAATCACTGGAGCTGTGGTATGGGTTTTGCAATCATGAAGAATTTTTTTTTAATTTGTTTTTTAGTTGTAGGTGGACACAGTATCTATTTTATTTGTTATGTGGTGCTGAGCTTCGAACCCAGTGCCTCACGCGTGCTAGGTAAGGGCTCTACCACTGAGCCACAACTCCAGCCCTTGAAGAAGTTTTGATGATGGATGGTAGAGCAAAAACTTTAAGAACCTGAGTATTGTTGACTCTGTGGCAAATTCATCCACGGTATGGTGGACAGTTTCTAGACATCTGACATATCCCCAGTTCAAAAACCTCCAGAATTTCTCTAGCACCACAGGCACTTATCCAGCTCAGGAACAGTGCTAGTCTGGATCTACTAGTACCCCTCCTTCCCTGTCTCATTCTCCACTTGGAATCGCTTCTGAACAAACTACCTGCATCCAGAATACACTTCTGCAGAAACCCAAGCTGGGACAGTGTGCAATATTAGCTTCATCTTGAAGTCCATGGAAGCATTTTGAGGTTTTAAATCGGGACTTGCATGTATATGGGTTGGCAGCAGCGGGGCCTAGAGATGGAGGCAAAGGATTGGAAACAAAGAAGTCAGTGGGGAGATGAACATATTCAGGTCCGTGAGGGGTGACAGGAGCTGATCCATGTCAGTGACATTCTGTCTTTTCCCAGGTGTATCCTCCTGAATCAGGTGTGAGTAGCACCAAAGGAGTTCCCCTGGGTGTGTTTGGGGTTCCGATGTTTGCGTCTTTAAAGAAATGCTCTTTTTGCTCTGCTCCCCAGCCTTCTTTTCTTTTTTTTTTTTTCTGGGATGCTCTGGAACTCTGGGAGGAGAAAGAAGCACTCCACGTTCTCCATCAGAGAAAGACAGTGTCCTCCAAACAAGAGTGACTCACCCTGCCTGGCCGGTGGAGTGGCCCAAGGCCAGGCCATGGGACTTGGCTGGCCAGTTTCAGTCCAGTCCAGAAGGAGGCAAGCCAGTGTGGCAATGATGTGTCGCCTGCTTACTGGTTTACTGGCCTTGGCTGGCCTGACCATGACTGAGCAAGGCTGTGAGGTTTTCCAGTCTGCGCCAACATGGATGTGAGGGCAGAAGAGAGCCCGATTGCCCGAGCTGGGAGCTCTGTAGACAAATTCTACTACATGGCGGGTCCCACCCAGCCTTGCTCAGGTCAGCCCCGGCTTCTCTGGTCATCCCAGGGATGGGGACGGGGGTCCCCAGTACAACTCACCACCCATGATGGCATTGCCTGTCTCCAGTGCAGCTCCCATGTGAGCTACAGTTGTGGTCTCTGGTATGGCAGGGGCATGACTTGCACCCCACACAGCCAGTGAGTCAGATTCGGTTCGTGGGCTAGTCACTTCCTGACCTTGGTGTGTCCCCAAAACCAGAGCTCTGCTCCCGAGCCCAGTCATTAAACAGGCCCTGGCTTTATCCTAATCATTTCAGAAATATCCTCACATTTATCCAGGGGATCTGGGAAGCTGGTGAAAGCGAGGAGTGGCGACAGGCTCTGCTCCTGTCTCCTGGCCTCTTCCAAGTCCAGGAAAGCAAGCCTTGCTCATTGCTGCTTCTCTCCTGCCTGCTGACCTTGAAGAGATCGCTAGAGCAACTTCATGGACCCTAATGACAAGGGCCATTGGTAGAAGGTAACACACAGGTAAGGGAGGTGGATCACGAAAACCTTAGAAACGAATTTCTCTGCTCCAATCCCTCAGGACAACCAGTCCTCTTCTCCTGACAAACGGTCCATTTCTCAGCCAGCAACAGAGCCTGCCGTGTCTCTTTCTCATGTTGTGATTCATGCCATTCATGGATCATTCTGATGTGTTAGCCAAGTCTTCCTTATGATGAGACCAAACCTACCTTCCTATACCTGTTTTTAATCTTTTCATACATTTATTGGACATTTGCTTTTTATTCACACCCACAGACACGAACCCTCATCATACCTGAGCCGTTGTCATGTGTTATAGTCCCAGCTACTCAGGAGTCTGAGGCAGGAGGATTGCTTTAGCCCAGGAGTTCATGGCAAGTCTGGGCAACACTGCAAGACCCCATCTCAAAAAAGAAGAAGGAGAAGGAGAAAGGGGAAAAAAGAAATCATGCCTTTTTTTCCCCTAAACTTTTCAAAACTTATTGCTATAAAGTTGTGCCTACAGTTTTTAAAAAACATATGTTCTGCCCTTCAATAGATGGATGAATGGATAAAAAAATGTGGCATTTATACACAATGGAGTATTACTCTGCATTAAAAAATGACAAAATCATGGAATTTTCAGGGAAATGGATGGCATTAGAGCAGATTATGCTAAGTGAAGCTAGCCAATCCCTAAAAAACAGATGCCAAATGTCTTCTTTGATATAAGGAGAGCAACTAAGAACAGAGTAGGGAGGAAGAGCATGAGAAGAAGATTAACATTAAACATGGACGAGAGGTGGGAGGGAAAGGGAGAGAGAAGGGAAATTGCATGGAAATGGAAGGAGACCCTCATGGTTATACAAAATTGCATACAAGAGGAAGTGAGGGGAAAGGGGAAAAAAAACAAACAAACAAGGGGGAGAAATGAATTATAGTAGATGGGGTAGAGAGAGAAGATGGGAGGGGAGGGGAGGGGGGATAGTAGAGGATAGGAAAGGCAGCAGAATACAACAGACACTAGTATGGCAATATGTAAAACAGTGGATGTGTAACCGATGTGATTCTGCAATCTGTATATGGGGTAAAAATGGGAATTCATAACCCACTTGAATCAAAGTGTGAAATATGATATGTCAAGAACTATGTAATGTTTTGAACAACCAACAATAAAAATTAAAAAAAAATTAAAAAAACATATATTCAAATACTTGTGCTTTGGTCTTCTTTCTTACTATGGGTATTATTTTTGGTTTCTTCCTTTTTTACTTCATTCACACTTTTCAAAAAATGTTTATTATTTTTCTTTTGATGAACTGGTTTGATCAACTTTATCATTAGGTTTTGTCTTTATTTTATCGATCACTGCCTTTACCTCTAGTCACTCTGGATATGCTTGCTTTAGATTTGACTTGCCATTCACTTGCTAGCTTCTTAGGTTGGAAACCTAATTCACCTAACGTCAGTTTCTCTCGTGCTGTCACCACACACACACATGAGCGTTCATTTTCCTGAGTACATCTTTGACCTCATCTCCCAGATTTTGACGTGTAACTCTTTAATTATGGCCTATTTCTGAGTAGTTTATAATTTGTATTATTCCTTCTGAAACCCAAAATTATTTAGAAAGCTTTTATAAAAATTTTCAGGTTAAACTTGGGGTTTAAATTTTTGTTATTAATTTTTAATTCTATTGCATTGTGATGAGATTTTTTTCCTACCTCTGTAACTTTATTTATTTATTTATACAGTTAGAGATGTGTTTTGCTGTACTGGGTATTGAACCGGGGCCTTGTGCATGCTTGGTTAGCACTGAGCTACATCCCCAAACGTTTTTCTTTTATTTTGAGTCAGAATCTTGCTAAATTAGTGAGGCTGGCCTCAAACTTTCCATCCTCCTGCCTCAGCCTTCCAAGTCACTGGAATTATGGTGTGCACCACCACACCCAGCTAATTAAAAATTTTGTTGATTAGTATTATTATTTTGTGAGCCTGTGCATGCGTGGCAGGGACTCTACCGCTGAGCCTTTAATCCACTTCTTCAGGTCTGTTTTGTGGTCTCCCTCTGAGAAATTTTAGGTCCTCCTTCCAGAATGTTCCAATAAATATTTTTTCACTTGGGAATTGAATCAGGGCCTTGTGCATGCAAGGCAAGTACTCTACCAACTGAGCTATATTCCCAGCCCCCAACAAATATTTCATAGCAGTTACTTAATGATCCCTGTGGAGGGAGGGGAGTGTGAAGTCCTCCCAAGAAGACTTTTCAATCCTCTGGGGACTTAAGGATTGAAATGCCCTTCCCATCCCTTTCCTCCCCATCGTTGTCATCATGCATTGAGACAAGAAAGAAAGAGCCTCTCTAAGTGGTGTGCCCTCACTGTCTTCTCCGTCCGTCTCCACACACCTGTGACTATCTCCAAGTGCCCTGCCACACAGTTACCTATGAAGTCAACTTAGTGCCCATCAAGGTGCAGGGAGTGGTGCGCCTCCTCCCTTTGGCCATGAACACTACACTTCTCTTAATGTGTTTCAAAGCTAGTGTTGTCTTTTTCATGAACCACACCCCAAACTAAAAGTCCCTAGCCAGTATTTCCCAAGCTGTGTCCTTGTAGTACATTAATAGATAGTGCACAGAAAGTGATTGGTTTGGGAACTGCTGAATTAAACAAAGAGAACCTGGTATCTTTACTGGACACTTAGGAGAATCTATATTTTCTAGGGCATTCAGTGACTTTCAAAGAGGAGGAAAAAGCAAAGGAAGGCTTCCCAAATTAATCTGGAATGGAACCCTTCTGTGGAACACAAGGTCCATGTTCTAGAAGTAAGACCATGTGCCATACTTTCTAAGATCCTATTTTCAAAAGGATTCTGTTTCTCTTGGTCAAATTTTATTAATCTCATGCCAGGAGCGGTGGCGCACGCCTGTAATCCCAGCAGCTCAGGAGGCTGAGGCAGGAGGATCATGAGTTCAAAGGCAGCCTCAGCAAAAGCCAGGTACTAAGTAACTCAGTGAGACCCTGAGTTGCTTAATACAAAATAGGGCTGGGGATGTGGCTCAGTGGTCGAGTGCCCCTGAGTTCAATTCCCAGAACCAAAAAAAAAAAAAAATTGTTTACTCCAATTGTCAGTCAGTTCTGCAGTCCATCCTTTCAGTGTTTTGTATCCCAATTCTACAATTCAGTGCCCACGCTGCCCGCTTAGAGATGCTTACTGTTGGCCAAATCAGATCAGCCTGCCCCCTGATCCTCATTCAATGCACAGATAACTGCTTGGAAAAGGACAGGACCAAGGTCAGAGTCCTGTAATGTACGTCTGAAATAGGGAGGACACACGCATTTCATCCCATGGAATGACCTTGATTGATTGGTAGGGCTGCCTACACCAGCACTTCTCAGACTTTCTTGCAGAGATAAATCACCTGGAAATGTAATGTTATTAAAACGCAGAATCAGATTCAGTGAGTTTGGGGTGGGATCTGAGATTCTGCATTTCTCATAAGCTCCCAGGTTATGCCGATGTTGCCAATCCTACAACTCCATTGTGAGCAGCGCAGTACTAGAGCACTGTGTTGAGAGGAATCTGAGGCTGCATCTGTGCTCAGCAGGAAAGAGTGCCGATTAATTGATGATACCTACTATGGGTCAAGAAATGAGCTGTGGACAGATGCCGTTGTTGTTGTGCAAGTGTTTCCTTATGTTGAAAATGATGGGCTATTCAAGACAGCAGAGAAAAAGAATGAGTTCTTCACACCATAAAATGTTTTGTAAGCTGAGAATTTAATGTCAGTATGTTCTATATATTCTAAATAACATAAATTCCAAGAGGTGTCATGTCGTTATAAAGGTAAGGTTGGCTGGGCATGATGGTGCACATCTATAATTCCAGTGACTCAGGAGGCCGAGGCAGGAGGATCACAAGTTCAAAGCCAGCCTCAGCAACTTAGTGAGACCTGTCTCAAAAGAAAAAGGGCTGAGGGTGTGGCTTAGTGGTTAAGCACCACTGAGTTCAAAAAAGAAAACAAAAAGTAAGATTGTGGGGCTGGAAGTATAGCTCAGTGGTAGAGTGTGTGCTTAGCATGTGCAAGTCCCTGGTTCAAGTCCTAGCACCAAAAGGAAAACAAACAACAACAACAAAAAGGTAAGGAGAATGTACACTATTCTCCAACTTGTGTAAAATAATCAATAATTATATACTTTGAAAATGCCAAGAAGTAATAAAACTATTGCGGATGGGAATATTCTTACACTACTGGTGGAAATGTAAACTGGTATGTGACTGTGGAGAACCGTCTGGTATTACTATTAAAACCAAAAACATTTATACCCTATAACCTAGTAATTCTCCTCCTGGTACACATATGAGAGAAACTTGAGCACACATGCACCAAGACCCGTGGACAGCAGCATTTCATGTAATAAATTAAAAACTCAAATGTCCTTCAAAGAGAAATGGAATAAATTTATGATACGTTAGTGGTAAAATACTATACAATCGTGGAAATGACAAAACTATAGCTATGTGTGGATGAATCTCAGAGACAAAATGTTAATTGAAAGAAGCAATACACAGAAGATAATTCACTTATGATTCAAGTCCATAAATTTCATATCATTTGTGGAGATATTTGCAAGGGCTAAAGCTATTTTTTTTTTAGAGAGAGGAGAGAGAGAGAGAGAGAGAGAGAGAGAGAGAGAGAGAGAGAGAGAGAGAGAATTTTATTTTATTTTATTAGTTTTCGGCAGGCACAACACCTTTGTTTTTGTATGTGGTGCTGAGGATAGAACCCAGGCCGCATGCATGCCAGGTGAGCACGCTACCGATTGAGCCCCAAGTCCCAAGCTATTTTTTTTTAAAGTGAGTAATTTACCATCATAAAAGTCAGAATCACGATATCATCTCACTCCAGTCAGCTATTATGACGACAAACAACAATAAGTATTGTTGAGGACGTGGGCATAAGGTACACTCATAAACTGCTGGTGGGACTGCAAATTGGTACAGCCAATATGGAAAGCAGTATGGAGATTCCTTGGAAAACTGGGAATGGAACCACCTTTTGACCCAGCTATCCCTCTCCTTTGTTTATACCCAAAAGACTTAAAAACAGTAGACTACGGGGACACAGCCACATCAATGTTTATAGCAGCACATTTCACAATAGCTAAACTGTGGAGCCAACCTAGATGCCCTTCAGTGAATGAATGGATAAAATAAATGTGACCTATATACACAATGGAATTTTACTCAGCAATAAAAGAGAATAAAATCATGGCATTTGCAGGTAAATGGATGGCGTTAGAGAAGATAATGCTAAGTGAAGTTAGCCAATCCCAAAAAACAAATGCTGAATGTTTTCTCTGATATAAGGAGGCTGACTCATAGTGGGGTAGGGAGGGGGAGCATAGGAGGAAGAGATGAATTCTAGATAGGGCAGAGGGGAGGGAGGGAAAGGGAGGGGGCAGGGGATTAGCAAGGATTAGACATGATTATCCAAAGTACATGTATGAAGACAGGAATTGGTGTCAACATACTTTATATACAACCAGAGATATGAAAAATTGTGCTGTATATGTGTAATAAGAATTGTAATGCATTCCATTGTCATTTTTAAAATTTTTTATATTTTTTATTATTTTTTTAAATTTATTTAGTTAGTTAGTTTTCGATGGACACAACATCTTTGTTTGTATGTGGTGCTGAGGATTGAACCAGGGCCGCATGCATGCCAGGCGAGCGCGCTACCGCTTGAGCCACATCCCCAGCCCGTCATTTTTTTTTAAAATCAGTTAAAAAAAAAAAAAAAAAAAAAAGTCAGAATCATGAGCATCTACAGCAATGAGACATCATGATCGGAGAGGCACACATGGGGGCATGGGGTGGGGAGCTTCTCATTTTTATTCCTTAACT